CATGTGGGAATAGTGCCCAGGAGTAGGAGTGTTGCAGAGTCCGGAGTAGTTGGGGGGAGAAGGGGGCCCAGGGCCAGAGCAAGAGGACCTTGGGGGCCTCTGGGAGGAGCAGGGACCTGCTGGGGGTGGGGGGCGGGAAAGGTTTGGTGCAGGAGGGGCAGGGGACGGGGAGAGGTCTGGGCTGGACCAGAGGGTGGCGCTGGATGGGGGAGCGGAGTTGGTGGAGGGAGCAGCCTGTGGGGCCTGTGGGCCCAGGCTCTGGTCGGGGGTGGGCCTCTGTCAGCGGGAGTCTATAGGCCTTCCCTGTCCCGTCCCCACGGGGGGGGCCCACCGGCTGGGGATTTATGCTCCCTGCATTCCTTCCTGAGGCCGCGCCCCCTTGCCCACTCCTGGGAGGGGACTCGGGGTGCTGGGCCCTCTGCAGGCCTGTTCTCCCCAATCCACCTCCACCCACCCCCCACAGATGACAGCCTGGGCTCCCTCGAACTGGACCAGCGGACCCACTTCCCCCAGTTCTCCTACTCGGCCAGCATCCGCGAGTGAGCAGTGCCGCCGCCGCCGCCGCCGCAGGATGCACGCACGGCTGCCATCACCGCCCCGGGGGCCGGTCTTTTTGTTCTTAGACTTTATATTTTGCCTTTTTTTGTTTGCATCCCCATCCCTCACCTGCTCACCCCATTTCTAGTTTTTTCTTCAGCCCTCTGCCAAACTCACCTCAGTGGTCCCAGCGGCCCTGCCTCCAGGATCCTGTCCTGTACTCACCTCTGTGCCCAGACCAGGATTTGGGAGACTCTCCACTGCCCGCCCCCGGACCAGGCCTTCGGGCTGTTGCAGAGATTCCGGTTTTTAATCAACACAAGTCCAGCGCGGGGCGGCGCGTGGAGCTGTGGGCCCTGCCTGGGTCTCTGGCCGGGTGCCTGCCCCTGTGCCGCTGCTTTCTCGTGGGACACCTCGTGGGACACGACGCCCAGTGGACAGTGCCCTGGTGCTCGGGACTCAGGGCCACCTGGCGCGGGCGGTCCGGCCCGGCCCCTCCCCCACAGGGGCAGAAAAGCAATAATGTCCAGGGACAGGCAGGGGGCCTTTGGAAGCCGTGGGGTTGGGGGTTCGGGGATCCCTCGTGTAGATGGGGCCTGATCTGCCCCGTGGGGCACGGGGGGTCCCAGGGGATGGGCACTGCCTCCTTGCCCTGCCTTCCTCAGCCCCCCCCCCCCCCCCAGCTGCTCTCCTGACCCTGTGGATGAGGCAGGAGGAACATTTGGGGACGGGCCTCCTGCCGCCCCATCCTGTGCCTTACCAGGGCTTCCTTCCGGCCGGCCTTCACTCCTGCTGGGCCTTGGGCCGGCCCCAGCCCTTGCCAAGGATGGGGGCGGGGGTCATCCCCCCTTTCCACCTGGGGCGGGGGGCCACCAGCTCCGCTGTTAAACATCTCGCACCGAGACAGTGTTGGGCCCTGTGGACTGGGGTCAAAGAGGGGGTGGGAGTGGGCGGGTCTCTGGTACATACGGGGGGTGGCCTCTGAGCAGGGGAGGCTCCAGGGCCCTCCCCTCCCTCCCCCCTCCCTGGGCCCCACATTCTGCAGCCTTAAGGTGAACGTGTGTCAGTGCTGTGGGCACGTGTGTGTGGCCTCAGACTGTTGTTTGTGGATGGCCCCTTGCGTCTGGGACGTGGATGCACACGGGGTGGTGGGGTGTGTGTGCATGCGTGTTGGGTGTGTGTGTGAGGGCATGCGTGTCCCAGCCTTGAATGCGTGGTGTGTGTGGGCTTGGGCCCTGTCCTCGGCCCGAGCATTTCATCCCGTAGGGGAGGGGTGCTGGCCTGGTGGGGGAGCCACACCTGGGGTCCATTTGCTGCCCAGCCCCCCTCCCCCCCCTCCCCTGCCCCCAGCATCTCTGGGTGTGTGGAATTTAGTTGTGGCTTTGATCTCCCTGCCCCACCTCCTGTACTAGGTAGTTCAGAGAGAGACATCCTAGGGTGGGGTGCGGGGTTGGTTTGGGTGGGTGGGGGGTATTTTTCCTTTCTGTGTGTGTATGTCATTTGACAATTCTCTATCCTCCCTACTGGCCTACCCCATTCCTCCCATTTGTACGGTACAAGCAATAAAGACACTTGTTTCAGACGGGGGCCCGCTGCCCTGGGCCATTCCTTGCCTCCGGAGCCTGGCCCTGCTGACCCGCTCCCGGGACGTGTCCGCCGTCGCGGGACCTGGGTACCTGGAGCCACGCTCGCCCTCTGGCCGTCGGGGTGGGTGGGTGGGGCTCGGTGTGGGCGCCCCTGTGGGTGGAAGCTACTGAGGGGCTTGGGAAGCTTCCTGGGGTGTGCGGGTACACCGGGCAGAGACCATGCCAGGTCTTCAGAAGCTGCCCAGGTGTAAAGAAGGGGAGGACAAGAGTAGGGTAGTCGGCAGGGTGGCTCTGAACAAGGAGGGTGCGCGAGGCGTCACTGAGCCCTGGAAGGGAGTGCAAGGGAGTGGGTTCACTGCGTGGGGCCCTTGGGCCCTAGAGCCCTAGAGCCCTAGAGCTGGGCATTGCCTGCACGTTGTCTTCTCCCTACTTAGGCTAAACCAGGGAGTCTTGAGGCCCCCAAGTTCCAGCACAGTTTTGGTGTACGAACGGGAATCGTGGTGGCTGTCAGCTGGTGGCCCCTCTGGTGACAGCCCTCACAGCTCTGGGATCCTCTGACGGCCGCCCCCTTTAGCCTGGGGTTCCTGGGCTTGACTCCCTCTGCCCACACCTGGGGACCAGGGTGGGGACCAGGGTGGCCCCCGCACAGGTGCACTGAATGTCAGACTTCGCCAGAAGGCAGTAGGGCTTCTTCACATGCATGGAGTCTCAGCGATCTTGAGTGAGGGTAGGGGAAAAGCCAGATGCGGTGCGTAGGAATCTGCGTTTGCTGCGGCTAAGACCCAAGGAATGCGTGGCTTTTTCTCACTTCATGTGGACTTTAATTACAAAAGTATGTCCTGGTGGTCATAAGACAAGCAGCGGAGAAGCTTCTAGAGAAAAGCCTTCTAAGTTTTCCCTCCAGTTGAGGCCCCTGAGGAGACCTGGGCCAGTTCGTTTTCGCGTCACCCCCCTTACTCTCTGGCGGGGGCTATCCTGAGCCTACCTCAGTCCGCTGGGTCACCTCGCGGCCCCCCGGGTCCCTGGTGCGGGGCCCACAGGCTGATGAACCGCTCCCCTCGGGCAAACATAGCTCCCTCGCTGTAGTGGTGCTTCCTTCTGTAGAACTTTTACCAGATCAGCTGGGAGCATTTTAATAAAATTTTACCAATTGGAAACCTTAAGTTTTGAGTAGATTAATTTGTTTTTTGTCATTTGCTTGTGGGAAATTTCTCGTGGTGTGTGTGTGTGAGAATAACGTGAGCAACACCGAAGTCTGAGGAAGCAAGTAAAGTGAAAATGAGCCTGGATCCCAGCTCCTGAGCGCTCATCCTGGTGCTTGCTCGTTTCCTCCCTGTGCAGATGCACATGGCATCAGATAAAGGTTCTTTGCCTTCGGTTTGGTTTGGTTTGGTTTTTGCCAAAAAACCAAAAAAACAGGCTTGCCTCCCAGCTGTGGCCTATGTTCTAGGGTGGCTGGAATTTAATACGTGTCTGATAGCTTTCCAGAGTGTGCTGAATCACAGATTTTTACCTTTATCTTTTAAATAATTGCAGGTGCCAGGTTTGAAGAAAACTTCGAAAGAATAGTACTAAACACAGTTCTAGGCCTGGAGCACCTTGTAGTGCCCCGAAGGAAGGACCCGCTCAAAAGCGGCCAAAGCAGATCCTCCCTGGTGGGGGGTATGTGAAGGGAACTGGGGGCCTGTGGAAAGTACCCCCGCTGGGCTGAGAGTACTTGGAGCAGCAAAGGAAATAGCATAGCGCTGGCTTCTACCCAAAGTTCACAATCAGTAGTTCGCAAGCAGATAAATGATCAATGGTGGGAACAGACGTAACTGAACGAACTTCAGGTAATTTCTGTAGATGCTGCGCTTCCAAGGTGTGGGCTGCAAAGTGACTTCCTTCCAAAGAGGACAGTATAGAAAGGGGAGAAGCAACCTCTCCATGAAGAAACCTGACAAACATTACGTCAGCCGGTGATGAACGTCAATATCAACCATGTAACTACTGTTGGCAGGAAGTGCCCTTGATAGGCGATGAGGGTGGTTGGTATCCCAGTTGGTCCATGGTTGTGAGAAATGCACTACACTAAGGAGGTTGGTGGGGGAAAGTAGGTGTGGGGTGCAGGGGAACTTTGTTCTCTTTGCAGCTTCCCATAAACCCACTTTAAAAATTTGACTTTAAAGGAAGTACAAGCATTCTCATTGACCCTTCACGCAGGTATCTGTGACCATTTTCTGCTTACGCCCTCCTACCGGCTGCGTGTTTACATATCCGCCCCGAAGCGAGAACATTCTCTGGCACAACCAACAGTTCAATTAACCAGGTCGGGAAGTGAATACTGAAACAACCCTCTTCTCTCAGGTCTTTATCAAATTTGACTAATGGTCGTGCTCCTGACCTTGTACACAGAACAGTCACCTGGCTGATGACTCCTGTTGCATTCAGTTGTCAGGTTTGAAACTTACAGGGCAGTTATGTCACAGAATGTCCCTCAGTTACGGCTTGTGGCCTGATGTTTCCTCACGGTTATAGTCAAGCTACTTTTAGCAGGAAATTTGAGAAATGTGCCCTTCTCCCTGCATCCTCTCAAAGAGGAACAGGAGATTCTGTCCCATGACTGGTGATGACTTTGATCCCTTGCTTAAGGTGGTGACTTGTCAGGTGTCTTCACTGGAAAGTTAACTACTTTCCCTTTGTAGTTAGTATCTTGTGTAGAGATACTCTGAAAATGTAGATATTTAGGTTTTGATCAAGTGTTCAGGCAAAGGGAATGGCAAGCACAAAGGCCCTGAGGCCAGCAGGTGCTGGATGTGTTTGGGGAACGTAAAGAGGGTGTGTCAAATAGAACAAGGGAGGGGGAGAACAGAAGGAAATGGGGTTAGAGAGGTAACAATGGGCCGAAGGGACCATGTGGCCAAGGTAAGGAGTTTGGGTGTTAATGTAAGTGTGACAGGAAGTCATTGGTTCAGCATCTCACATTCCTCTGCTCACTTTTCCAGCCTTGCTGACCTCCTAGTGCTTGAAAATAGCAGCCCCTTTCCTACCTCGGTGCCTTTGCTCATGCTATTTCCACCACTTGGAATATTCTTCCCTCCCTTTGCATTCCTGGCTCCTTGCCTTTCAGGTTTTACTCCAATATCACTTACTCATCCAACAAATATCTGAGTACGTGCCACGTGCCAAACTCCGTTCCAGGCACTGGGAATACAGCAATCAAAACAAAACACCAGACAAGCCTTGCCCTCCTGGAGTTCACATTCTCATCGGGAGGGAGGCAGTAAATAATCAGGCAGTAAGTGCTAAGGAGAGAGTAAGTTACAAAGAATGGTGATAGGAAGTTCTCAGGATAGCCTTTTTCACAGGGAAGGTAGCATCTGAGTAAATACCTTAAATGAGGGATCTCTGAGGGAGAAGCATTTCAGGCAAAGGAAACAGGAGTTGGGGGGAGGGTTGAGAGATGAACTCAAAGGTGTGTGGGGATGGGTGGGAGGATCAAAAAGGACCTCGTGGACTTTGAAATTGAGGGAGATGGGAGCCACGATGGAGTTCTGAATGGAGGCAGAGTGCGATCTGACTTGGGTGTGCACAGGATCCCTCTCTGGCGGCATGGGGGCGGGGCGGGGCAGACTGGGGGGGATGGGAACCAGGGAACAGTGAGTTCGCTGCGCTAGTCCAGACCCACCGCTGGCCACTTGTCTTAGTAGTTTTGAAACAATCCTTACTTTACAGCTAAGGAAAGGGAGCCTCGCTGTTTCTGATCCTATAGTAAGTAGCAGGTAGAGGGTTTGACTCCAGCTGCCTGACCTTAGGTTTGGAGGGGCCAGAGCCAACCTGCATAGCATTCGCCATCTCCTCTGCACCTGCCCAGGTGAGGCGTGCTCAGCGCGCATGCGTGCAGGCACAGTTTAAAGCAACCGCCGCGGGTCTTTCGCTGCAGCAGGAAGAGGGGCGCTCGGCTTGGTCCCCGGCTTGGTCCCCGGACGCCAGCGTGGAGAATGCTGGTGAGATGCAGCAGCCAGGGTCCCGCCTCCCGGCTCGGGCCTCCAGGCGCTGACCACCACCCCTCCCCCTTGCAGAGTCCCGCAGCCGCCTCCCCCAACTCTCCCAGCGCCCCAGACCCCGACAGCATCCCCGAGGGCAGCCAGGAGAGGCCCCATGGGCCGTGCGCGCCGCCGGGGCTGGCGGAGGCGCTGAGCGCGCTGGGGCTGGAGGGAGAACGCGAGTACGCTGGGGACATCTTCGCCGAAGTCATGGTGAGCGCTCCCGGGAGAGCAGCAGAGGGGTTCCGGTTAGGCGAGGCGAAAGCTGGCCTCTGGCCCAACACCCACTCCACGAGGCTTCCCGAACTCCCACCTCCCTGCAGCCCCTCCTACTTGTCCCTCGCGTGTATTCGTTCACAAACACTTAGCAATTTATGAACAGATGTTTTTGAGCATATTCTAGGCCCTGGGGATGCTGTGATGAACAACATAGTCTGCTCTCGTTTCGGACAACCAAGCAAACAGGCGGTAACAGCAGAAGGGAGGCTGCAGTGCACGCCCGGTCATCTGCAGATACCTGTGCAGGATAGGCACTGTCTGAAGAAGCACTGCAGGCATGAAGTTGTTTAAGAAAGTAAAGTGGGGAGTGTCTCCCCCCAGCCGGGGACTCTGTTAGGAACTGAGATACAGGTGTGATCCAGAGAGAAATCCCTGCCCTTGTCGTGCCAGCAGCCTAGGGAGGCAAACAGAACACACAAGGGAACACCAGATATCTCCAGACTGAAAATGCTAAGAGGACCATAAAGTGCTGACACAAAGCGGGATGGGTGCAGGGAGAATTCTGTATAGGAAAAGTCCAGGGAATCTGAGCTGAGGTTTCAGCACTGCAAGGAGCTGGGGAAGGACCATTCCAGGTGGAGGCAACTAAGGATAAGTGCAAAGGCCCTGGGGTAGGAACAAGCCTGTCCTAGTCTAGGGCTAGAGAAGGCTGGTGTAGCTGGAGTATGGGTTGTGAAGGGAGAGAGGGAAGAGGTGGTGTTGGCGCAGGGGGCAGCGCCTGAGAGAGCAATTAGGGTTTCCTCCTGAGGGTACTGGAAGCCCTGGAAGGGTTTTAAGCTGGGGAGTTCCTTGGCCAGTTTTGTAATTTAGAAAGACCCTTCTGGGCGCTCTGAGGAGGATGGGTTGAGGGTTGGTGACGGCTAGTGGTCTGGAAACCCAGGGGGAGATGCTCAGGAGGAGCCGTGGCCATGGGGGCTACAGATTGGAGAGGTGGATTAGGGAGGCGTCCAGAACAAAGTCCAAGGTTCTAATGGGGCATAAGGAATAGAGACACATTTGGAGAAGACATTGGAGGCCAGTTTCAGTGAGGCGCTCAGCCTTCGGCCAGTTGGTGCGAGGAGGCTGCTGCCCTGGGGGCTGGAGCTCAGGCGAGAAGCCGAGGCACAGGTGGGGAGAGTGAGGCCCTCCCTGCCCAACCGCAGGTGTGCCGCCCGTTGCCCCGGAGGGCCCTGCCCCCGACCGTGACGCCAGAGATGCGCGAGCTAGTGGTGGACTGGCTGATCCAGGTGCACGTACGTATCCGGCAGGGGGCAGGGCTGAGCCCGCGTCGCAGCCTAGAACCCTGGTGGTCACTCACGCCCCTCCCCAGGAGTACCTGGGCCTGGCGGGCGACACGCTCTACCTGACGGTGCACCTCCTGGATTCCTACCTGCGCGCCGGCCGAGTGCGCCTACACCGCCTGCAGCTGCTGGGCGTGGCCTGCCTGTTCGTGGCCTGCAAAATGGAAGAGTGCGTCCTTCCCGAGGTACTTTCTGGAGTGGGGCTTGGGAAGGTGGGACTCTCGCTCGTTGCGTCACAGATGGGAACACCGCCTGTGTGCTGAGCTAGTGCTTTACCTATTCTTGGAATCCCAGCATATCTGCATGAGGCCAGATACAATGTGTCCCTTTAGCAGAGGAGGAGACTGAGGCCCGGAGAGAGGAATACCTTTGCCCAAAGCAGGTGGCACTTGGACTCAGTTTTGAACAGTTATAGTCAGTGCCTGATCAGAACTCCGTGCCTTATCAGAGCTGCCTGGTGAGGTACGGAGAAATATTTCCGTTTTATAGACGAGGAAATTCCGTCTCAGAGTTTCAGTGATGTCCATGTCACACAGTGTGAAAATGGTAGGGTTTGAAGTCGAACCCAGGTCTTTCTGATTCTGAAGCCTGTGCTCTCCATGGCTTCCAGAGAACAAATCAATAGCCCCATCTTACAGACCAGGAAATCGAGGTTCAGAACGGAGACTGAACCGATCCCAGGCGCTACAGGGCAGGGAGCAACCAGCCGGGGTCCAAGACTCTCCCACCTCTTTCCCCGCCATCCGCAGTCGGCCTCCCTCTGCCTCCTGGGCGCTGGCTCCTTCTCGCGGGCCGAGCTTCTGCGCGCAGAGCGCCGCATCCTGAGCCGCTTGGATTTCCGGCTGCACCACCCGGGCCCGCTGCTTTGCCTCGGGCTACTGGCCGCGCTGGCGGGGAGCAGCCCCCAGGTGCAGGAGGGAAGAGGGCAGAGGGGCAAGTCTCCCGCGGGTAGGGGCGTGGCCTGTACCAGGGCAGGGGCGTGGCCTGATCTCCCCGTGGGCCTTGGCAGGTGATGCTACTTGCCACCTACTTTCTGGAGCTGTCTCTGCTGGAGGCCGAGGCCGCAGGATGGGAGCCCGGTCGGCGCGCAGCTGCGGCGCTGAGCCTGGCGCACCGCTTGCTCGACGGGGAGGGCTCCGGCCTCGAGCCCTCGCTTTACAGGTACGGCTCCAGGGGCGCGCCTCTGTGGCTACAGGAACCTACTTTCCTGTCTCAGAGAATGAGAGACAATGGAGGGGGCACCCAGACTTGATTTTTCTGGATGTGAGAGAAAATGGTGTGTCTGCCTAGTCTGGGGATTTCAGAGAATGAGGTGTTTGTCCAGATTTGGGGACCCTTAACCTTGCCCCTGGGTGGAAGATAGCGTATCTTCCGGGCCTCGGGAGATCCGAACTGCGTTCCAGGGTTGAGAATGAGAGGTCTGCCAACCTCGGGTCCCCCAGCTCCCCTTGTGGCCGCAAATGGGGTGTCCCTTTAGCTGCCAGAGGGGCGCCCCCCTCCTTTGTTAACCATGTCACCGGAGGCCAGGGTGAGTCCTCTTTTCTCCCAGCCCGTGCCACCCCCCCCCACCCCCCGGGGTAGAGCTGGATGTCTGTACATCCTCAGCCCCGCTCCGTCCCTCCCCGAGGTTCCGGCTCTCCACTGGCTCGAGAGAGCCCCTGAACGGTCCTCGGGGACCCCAGGCAACGTGTCTTCTCAGCCTCGAGCCTCCCGCTCCGAGAACAGGTCGTCTTCACCGCTGCCCCTGCCCCCGCCTCAGTTTCTCCGTCTCCCCGCCGCAGCCCCGCAGAGCTGCGCCCGCTCGAGCCATGCATGGCCCGCGCCGCGCTCCGAGGCCCAGCGCCCGGCCGCGCCGCCATCTTCCTCAAGTACGCGCGGCCCCAGCGCCAGGGCACCAGCCTCGCCGCCGCCCGCCTGCTCCGCCGCCCCCAGCCCGGGCCTCCCTGAGCCCGAGACCCCATCAAAAAAGACTGTCTGTCTGTATCCGTCTCCCACTTCAATAAAAGAGGTTGTTTTGTTTTGTTTTGTTTTTAGTTCTGAGCGCTCTCCGTCCTCATTGGGCGAATTCTGACCCCTCTCTCGCTTTTGATTGGTTACTACACAGGCCTCTCGTCTTTCTGATTGGATGCTCTTTACCGAGTCCCTTAATGGCGGCTGGGAGACACGATGCAAATTCTGGACCCGTCCGCCAGGGGGCACTGGCGTACTTCCGCAAGCGCGGCTTGGCGAGCTAAAACTAGGTTTCCAAGCGCAAACGTCTGCTGGAGATAAATGGACAGAGATGCTGCAACCCGAGTGGCTGTCGGCCTCAGGGTTGGGAAGAAACTAGGAGGGATGGGGACTGCGGGAAGCTGCCCCACTCATAAGGAATGCTACCTCGATGTGGCTAGATTTTCAGATTTTGCCCAAGTGAAGCTGAAAATCCACAATTCCATACGTATCTCTACTTCCACATGTTAGCAACATTGGAACCATTTTTTAATGGTTGCACAAGCCCAGCACATCACATGCTGGCCTGTGGGAGTCATCAGTTTGTGATAGTATGGGTCTTTGATAGCAAGTGTTCTATAAATGGGATCTGATTTACTTAACCCCTAGAGTGCCACAGTGTGAATGTGTATAAATTGTAGCACCGGTCTCATAGAGGTGTGATGAGGGTGTGAGTTAATATAATATAGATGTAGAGCTTTAGGACAGTGCCTGACACCTAGTAGGTGTTATGGAATTGCTAGCACTGCATCCTAGCAGGACTGCGAGCTAGCTACACTTGTCCCCCGTTTCTGCCGAACCCTCAGCACCTAGCTATTTAGTAAGTGCTCAGAAAATATTCGTTATAAATCAATGGATCTCCACACTTTTTAATTTAAAAACACACCTGAGGTGATCTCAGGAATTCAACCTCAGGAATATATCAGACTCTTAACCAAGCTTAGGTTTGGAGGTGCAAGAGAGGAGGAAGTTTTTGCCCTGGAGAGGTTCAAGGTTGGAGGACCAGAGAGGGGGAGAGACCCACTCGGCAAAGCTCGATAAGAGATAGAAGCGAATATGGCCATTGGGATGGAAGGTGCTGTGTTCAGGTTTGGACCTGTCGGGTGGGACCTGCCCTGTGGCCTCCAGGAAGAGGATGTGCAGTGCATGGGGAGGGGAGAGTGGAAATCTAAACTTGGTGCTTGGGGCTGAGGCCCAAGCCAGGGTCTTGCAGGGTGCAGGGAGGGTGGTAATACATAAAGCACATAAAGTTATTCATTCACTCATTCCTTCAACAACTATACATGGATGCTGACTCAGCCAGGCACTTAGGATCACATACCTCACAGTCTCATGGGTGATAAGAAACAGGGGTTGTTCATTGTCCATTCCTGTGCCACGCCCTGTGCTAAATGCTTTATCTGCGTAACGTAATTCAGTCCCTACAACTACTCTGAAGTAAACTCACTTGTTATCCCCAGGTTACACAGAAGGAAGGCAAGGAGGAAGCCAAGGTCCCACCACCAAGTAAGCAGCTAAGGAGGGTTGAAGATCAACCGTCTCATTCACCCTGTTTTTCTCTTAAAAGCCTCTCACGTGCTTCCTTTTCTGTACGCTCTTGTATTATTGTCCTGCTCACTCTGGGCTGTCGCTTGTTTGCGTTCCCACTGCTTTTCCTACCCAGACAGTGAGCCCGAAGAGGGCAAGAAGCAGATCTCTTTTGTTCATTGAGTTATCCCCTCCTCCAGGAAGCCTTCACTCACCACCTCAGTCTAGGGCAGGCACCTCCTCTGGACCTTCACAGCCCGTTGTGCCTCCCCCACCCAGGGTTCCACCCCCTATGCCTTTCCCGTCCCACCCTGGCCACTTTGCCAGAGCTTCCCAGGCTAGCCCATCGGGGCTGTCACTGTCTGGTCACTGGTCTGTCTCCCCGCTGGACTAGGGGTTTAGTGAGGGTAGGGGCTGAGGCTGTCCCAGTCCCTGCTCTTTCTCAGCATCACCCAGACCAGAGCTGGGCACAGAAGAGATTATCAGTGAATATTTGTTTGTTGCAAAAATAAACAAATGAGTTTCCAAGTTGCTATCATTGTCCTACGGTACTGATGAGGATAGAGAGTTCCAGGTAATTTGGGTGATTTGCCCGAGTACTACCACTAGTAAGAAATAAAAGCAGGGAATTGAATCTGGGCAGCCCGAGCCCATAACCCGTGTTCTTATCTAAATATGTGAAATGCCTAGGGATCTGAAAACCTGCTTTCCCCGAGGTTGCTATCTTCCGGCTCTTTCCCCCAGACTTGTCTTTTCCTTCCAGAAAGCTTTGGGAGCTTTGGGCAGGGGGGAGCAGAGCAGGCAGGAGGGTGAGAGGTAAGGGGAGTAGGAAGAAGGGAGAGGCTGGTTGAACTAGGGCTGGGGCTGATTTGGAGGACAGAAAGGGAAAGTCCTGAGGGGTTTCTCCAGACCCATAGGGGGCAGGCGGAGTCGGCTGCCGGAGGTGCGGGGGCGGAGAAAGGGTGGGGACCGGCCCCGCGGGGGGCGATGCGGTAGCTGCAGCGGCGGCCGCAGGAGTTTCCCACAATGCAGCGCGGCGCGCTGTCCCCGGTGCTGATGCTCAGCGCTGCCCCGGAGCCTCCGCCGCGCCCGCCTCCCGCCCTCTCCCCGCCGGGCCCGGGCCCCCGCCATGGCTCGGCTCGGCCCAGCCCTGCCCCCGAGCCGTCGGGGGGCCTGGGCGCGGCGCTCGACAGCAGCTTGCGGGCCGCCGTGGCGTTCAAGGCGGAGGGCCAGCGCTGCTACCGAGAAAAGAAGTTCCGGGAAGCCATCGGCAAGTATCATCGGGCACTGCTGCAGCTGAAGGCGGCTCAGGGGGCCCGCCCTGGAGGCCTGCCCGCCCCCGCCCCCGGGCCCGCCAGCAGCCCGGGGCCAGCCCGCCTCAGCGAGGAGCAGCGGCGCCTGGTGGAGAACACGGAGGTGGAATGTTATGACTCTCTCACGGGTATGGGGCCGTCGGGGGGGGGGGGCGCACAGGGTGCATACGGAGAGGGGTGGGAAGTGACGGGCAACCATGAAGCCTTGGGCGGGGGGCTGGAGGCTTGAAGGGCCCAGACCTGGGTTTGTGAAGGGAGACCCAAGAGCTTATCAAGGAGAGGGGTTGGGGTGTAGGGGAACACAGGGATGGAAGGGCTGGGATGCAAGAAATGGGCTTTGGGCTGTCACCTGCGAACCTCAGGTGAGAAAATCTTACCCTGGATTAGCGATTCAAGGCCCCCATCCCTCACCTGAGATCGCCTTTAGTACTCTCCCCCGCAGAAACTTTCCAGCTAATCACCCGCGAGCGCTGCTCTGTGTTTTCGCGCCCTCTAGCGGCGGCGCAGATTGATTCTATCCTGATTGGTCAGAAGATCGGCGGCCCAGGTGGCCTGAGCAATCTCTTAGGCCCGGCTCAGCCACCGGAAAGGGCAGGGGGTTCCTGCAGCCTGAAGGCCTGGCTCCTAGCAGTCAGGTGAGGGCTGGGGGTGCCGCCAGGCTCTGCGACCACCGGTCCCGGTGTCCCCGCAGCCTGCCTGCTGCAGTCGGAGCTGGTGAACTATGAGCGGGTGCGCGAGTACTGTCTCAAGGTCCTGGAGAAGCAGCAGGGCAACTTCAAGGCCACCTACCGCGCCGGCATTGCCTTCTACCACCTGGGCGACTATGCACGCGCGCTGCGCTACCTGCAGGAGGCCCGCAGCCGGGAGCCCACAGGTGAGGGCCGGACGAAGCAGGGAAAGGGGCTAGAGCAGAGGAAACAAACAAGGGAGGATCAGGGCAGAACTGCTTCAAGGGAGAGCTGTGCCTCCTCCCCAGCATTTACCTCTCCATCCACCTATTCCTTACACACCCACTCAGGCACGCACCCGCCATTCATTCACCCCTCCTCTCCCCCCATGTTCCTCTGACATTCACCCAACCACCTCCCATCTATTCAATCATTGACTCATCGATGCCTCCCACTCACCTACTCAGCCACTCCCTACCCGCTCACCCCATCTCCACCCACCCCCCCCTTCTCATTCATCCACTCACTAACCCATTCACACACCCACCCACTGCTCACGGAGCACTTGCAGGGAGGCAGACCCCAGGGCGGACAAGGCTAAGAAATTTGCAAGGGTGGGGTCGGGGTCGGGGAGGCTTGGCAGAGCTGGAGGCTTGCTGCCTGCCCTCTAGGACATCATAGTCAGGGTGTGTGTGTGTGGTGGGGGGGACAGACACAATATCAGTCTTGTACTGAGGGCCAATGACAAGGGAACAGGACAGGTACAGGACCCAGGGCTGTGGGAGCAGAGGCCAGATGAGTTCTCTTGGTGAGAGGTTTGGAGGGAAGAGACTTCTCGCAGACGTTGTTGGAGGGTGGGCAGAAGAATGCCGGCCGGCCGTGTCCGAGCAGAGGCATTCCTGGCGGAGGGCACAGCAAAAGCAAGAGTATGGAGGGGTGAAAGGCCCCCGTTCCGCTTGCTGTGGCTGGGGCTTTGGGAGAAGGGCTCTGGCAAGAGCAGCTGGGGACAATGAGGTGTGAGCTGCTGTGGCACAGATGTCACCCGCTGCCCCAGGACACCCAGATAATGCCGTGCCCACCTCCCCTGCAGACACCAATGTCCTACGCTACATCCAGCTGACTCAGCTGAAGATGAACCGTTGCAGCCTCCAGCGGGAAGACAGTGGGGCCGGAGCCGGGACTCGGGATGTTGTTGGCTAAGGCCAGCCGAGGGGGGCTTGCCCTCCCCCCCACTCCCACCTCACCATGTAACCCCCCCCCACCGACTCGTGTGTTTGCTGGTAAAGCATTTGTCACTGGTGACCATAACCTCTTTGTGTGGTGTTCTTGTGGGGACCAGGGAGGGGACTTGTGGCCTGAGCTTCGCCCTCTGGATCAGAGACCCAGAGGCTCAGGGGGGAAGCGTGGGATGGGGGGTGGGGGTGCCCTCCTGGGGCTGACCCAGGATCAGGGCCCCGGGCTGGGGAAAGACACAGCCAAGAGCCGTAGGGGGCAGGGGTTACCTTTAATGCTGCATTTTGTGCCGAATCCCTATGATGCCCTGTCCCTGAGTATCCCTGCCCACCCTCTCCCCCACCCACTGCAGGGTGGGCACTGGGCTCCACCCTCTGGGGTACAAAGGAATAAATTAAGTGACCCCCTCCCCCCTTCCCCAATAAATAGAGTGAGTATCCTGCCCAGGGCCTCCCCCCGCCTTGTGGCACGGCAGGCTGGGGCGGGGCCTGGGGCGCTACATTCATGGCTGCCCAGGCGGGCGGTGGAGGGTGGGCCTCAGCGGGAGCCATGGGCCCCGCACAGGGGCACTGTGCTGTCCTGGCTCTGCCCCTCCATGTCCATGTCAAGCAGCGTGGGCTGCATGCCGGGGGGTCCAGGGCTCTCTGGGGTGTCCGGCCTGCTGGGAGGCGAGATGCTGAGTGTCCGGCCAAAGGAGACCAGTTTCCAGGGGTCCAGGCGGGGGCGGCTGGCAGCCGGCCGGGGTCTTGGGGCGAAGGTCAGGGTGGTAGGGCGGCCAGGGAACTCGGGGGGCCGGCGGTGGGTCGGGAACAAGGTCTGGGGGTCGGGCAGGCGGGGGAAGTCCAGGGGTTCTCGAGGGCCTGGTAAGAGAGGATCAGATGAAGTCAATGGCGTGGGCCAGAGGGTGGCATTGAGAAGCCAGGACCTTTATGTGAGAACTGGAATTTCTGACTTACTTAGAAATATCTGCTGATCTTGTTGGGCCCGCTTTCCAGCCAGGGTGGGACCTTGACCTAGGCCCCGAGCGCTCCAAAGCGCTCACTCATCTCACTCTGAGCACCTTCCTTAAGCTGTCAGAGCCTGTTCCCTTGTCACCCCTCTAGATAAAGCCCTCATTCCCCCCAAACCCCCTCTGAGGTGCTGGGTGCACGCACACAGGCCTGAGGAGAGACTCGAGGCATAGCGCGGTCTCTGAGGGGCAGGAGAGCAGCGCCCTCCCTAGGCGAGGGGTAAATAAAACGGTATTTGTAAGACAAGTAGCGCAGTGCCTGGTAGTAGGTAGTTGACTCCCATGCTGATCGCCTCTGTCGTTGTTAATAAATGTATGGGGAACATCGTCTAGCACAGGACTGACTGTTCGCTGTAGTTGTTAACTGTTGCCAGTAATGTCACCCGCCTGGCCCCTGGAGACACTGCGGTTTGCTCAATCACCCGGGGACCCACCATGCCCCCAGCAGTGAGGGCCGTGGGGACACAGACCCTTCCTCCCATGCAAAGCAGGAGGCCACCCTGGCATGCGGGGAGGGGGGCGCTGTCGCCGCCGGGCTGGGACCTCGGACCTTGGTGGGGGCGGGGGAGGAGGGTCGCTTTCTGCGCCCCGGGTGCGGGGCGCCTCACTCACCAGGGCGGGGAGCCGCGGGCTCAGGCGCCCCCCGCTGCCCCAGAGCCCCGTCCGACGGCGTCCGCCGGTGCCCGCGGCTCACTGCGCGCGCGGCCGTGACGTGGGTGGGCGTGAGCGACTGGCGGGGGTCTTTCTTGAAGCTCTCCAGCTCCAGGTCCACCAGGGGGTTGGTGCCGGGCGGGGAGGGCGGCGGGGAGGGCGCGGCCGGCGCGGCCTCGTCGCTGTCCGAGCGCAGCAGCGAACGCGTGGAGTTGCAGTCGGACACGGACGACAGCGACACCAGGGTGGCCGAGGGCGCCAGGCCCGGGCCGGGGACCGCGTCGTCGCGGCGGCCGGGCGAGCGCCCTGGCGGGCTGAGGCCCCGCGGGAAGCGGCCGGCGCGGGGGAAGAGACCGTCCAGCCAGCGCCGCTGCTCCTCGCAGTCGGCCGCGCGCGCCTCGGCCACGTCGGCGCCCAGGCCCACGGCGCCCAGCAGCGTGGCGCAGCCCAGCAGAGCCAGCTCGCAGCGCCGCCGGCCGCCGTGGCCCGGCCGGGAGAGGGGCGCGGGCGCCCCCGGGGAGGGCTCGGCCGGCAGCGGCGCCGTGAGGTAGGACGGGGTGGTGTAGGGGGAGGGAGGCACGCTGCTGCCTCCGTCCGCCTCCGCGAACTCCTCTGCAACCGGGAGAGGGCCGGTCACTTGCCTCCGGGGCTGGCCGCCGCCCCCGCTGTCCCCGCGGCCCCCCGGGGACTTGGTGGCGAGGGGGCTGCCCCGAAAGACCCTCCCGGCAGTGCGGCCACCAAGTCCCACCAATCTTTCCCCTCACAGAGCCCCCTGCCCCTGGGAATGACCCTGCACCCATGGGCTGCCCCGCGTTCCAGGAATGTTGCCGACCCACGGGTCCAGGGCCGTCGGCTCCCTCCCCACCCCTCAACCCGAGGGGAGCGGTCACCTCTTCCTCTCGGGTGATGTTTCCCTCCGGATGCCCCTCCCTCTCCATTTTAAAGGCACCCTCACCCTCTTACCCATCTCATTGAGGCTGGCGAAGCCTGGGGCGATCGGTGTGTGTTTGGGGGATTTGCCCAGGTTGGGGGCGCTAGATGACCACTGTTTGCTTCCTTCCCCCAGGGCCTTCAGCCTGCAGGGGGCACCAGAGATGCGGGAGGGGGTGGCAGTGCCGACCTGCTGGCTGCGGGGGGTGGGGGTGGGCAGGGGCAGGGGCAGGGCCAGCGGTGGGCTGCCAGGGGCAAGTACCTCTCCTCCCCTCCAGCCCGCTCCTTCTGCAGGGTGGAGCTGGGTCCCCAGGTGCGGCCCTTCTTCTTGCCTCCAACCAGTTCTTCCTTCTTTGGGGGCCCGCTGCGGCCCCATGTCCCACTGCCACCACTGCTGTTGCCACCACCGTCCACAGGAGTCACTGGGCCCAGAGAAGCCACTTGGTGGCCAGTCTGCGCCCGCTGCGCCCCCTGCCTCACTCTCGGATCCGCCCTCCACCACCAAGTCCAAGGGACCTTGGATTCTAACTGCAGACAGGACCCTTCCCTTGCTGGTTCCCACCCCCCCGCCTTGGCCCTTGCCGGGCCCTCTGGCAGGGGCATACTTCTTTCAGATCCTGGCCCTCCTCCCTCCTTCTCAGCCCGCAGGTCCCTGCTCGAACCCCAGCTCCTTACACTGCCTCCCTGAGGTCAAATGGCCATTCTCCTCTTTTATTCCCTTCCCTGCTTTCCTTCACAGCGCTTATCGCTGCAGGAAATTGTCCCGCTTACTGACTTGGCTCGTCTATGGTCTATCTCCCCGATGCGAATCAGGGAGGGGACCCTGCCTGTCTTGTCCCTGTCGGTCCTCCGGCTCAGCGTATGGTATGTGCGCAGAGAAAGGTCGTTGACGACGGACGGGTCAGGGCCTGGGGAGATACTCACGGCGAATGGCCCTCAGCCGGGGGATGATGCTGGGGCTCGCAGGGGGGCTGGCCCCATCGGATCCTTTCCGCTTGTCCAGGGTTGGAGAGGCCTGGACTGTGATCTTATGCTCGAAGCCTGCGAAAAGAAAGAGACTTTCCTGAGCAAACGGCTCCGTGGGTAACCAAAGAGAAAGTCCCTTTGTAGAAGGATAGGAGTGCTGGATGGGAACGCCACTGTTTTGCATTCCCAAACTGCCCATCTCACCTGGACACTGGGGGGTGGGGGTGGGGGTGGTGCTTACTCTTGTGCCTTCTGAATCGGCAACTCCGGGGTGAAGGGCAGCCTTCTAATCGTGATGAGCCCGCCAGAGACATCTGGCGTATGTGTGAGGTTGAGAGGCAAGATCCTAATTGGGTCCTTAATTAACTAAGGATTGACTACGTATCTAGGGCTAAGTGTCCAACGTGGTGGCCATTAGCCACATGTGGCCACGGAGCACTTGCCATGTGGGACTGCAGCTGAGGAACTGGAGAGTTTAAACTTCATCTGTGTGGTTGCAATGAATTTAAATTTAAACTAAAAATGGATACTCAGCTCTGTTATTGAAAACATTGAAGCACGTTTGGAACAATTTGGGTATGTGAATCTACTTGTGTGTGTGTGTGAGAGAGAGAGAGAGAATCTACTTTCTCAACTGTAAATTTCATGAAATCCAAATGCAGGTCAAGTATTTTTTGATGAAAATTTAGCACCTGGACCAAGATGCGCTGTAACTGTAACACATCCATTAGGTTTCAAAGATGGAGTATGAAAAAAAGTAAAATCCCTAACAGTGTTTCTTGTGTTGATTGCATGGGACACCATAACATTTTGGATATATTGGGCTAAATAAAATATATTATTAAAACCAATGGCACCTGTTTCTCTCTCCAGCTTTTAAGGCGGCTATGAGGAGATTTAAAACTTCATCGTGTGGCTTGCATTAGATTTCTGTTGGCCAGTGCTATTCTGGGCACGGCACTATGGCTTCTAATGTCCCAGAGAGAGAGTCGAGCAGACATCATGGGCCTTATGGAGGTGAGCACTGTTAACAGTGCCTAGGAAGCAGGCTGTGGGGAAACAAGAGCCCAAACCTGAACTTGAAACTGATTAAGCCACGTGAAACAAAAAGGGCTGAACATCAGCAATTTCACATGGTTTAATACCACTTTATAGGAAATTCAGGGGACGGAGGGGCGCGTTAAGGATGACAGCGGGATGCGAGCCGCAACACCCGCTCGCGCCGTGGGAGATGCCGCAGGATAAATGATGCTCCTCAACAAATTATTGGCAAGCGGGGAGAAAGCAGCAGACTAAAAGATAATTATAAAAAATAGGTGGTAGACGGAACAATAAAGAGAGGCAGAGGAGTGAATGCCCTGAAAGTCATCACAGAGGTTACTCTTGGGGCAGGGGGTGGCAGGAGGCTGTTTGGAGGAGGCATGAGGACGGCATCTGGAGGGGCGGATGGAGGTTCTCTCCGCCTTCATGCGGGCGATTATACGCGCTCCTGAAGCTGTGCTGTTTTCTGGTCCTTTTC